TGGACAACAAGAGCGAGACTCCATCTCAAAAAAAAAAAGAAAGGGTTATTTAATGTCGATAAACGGTACATGCAACAAAGAAGACACAAATAGCATTGTGAGCTTTTTGTGCTGAATAATGTAGCTGTGAAATATATAAAACTAGTTCTGTAATAAATACAAAGAGGAAATGACAGGCACACAAGAGTAGTGGAAGACCTTAACACATCGCCCTCAGTCTTTGACAGATTAAGTAGGCAAAGAATGAATTAAGATGCAAAGAAACTGAATAATGGATTTCACAGATATAACAGGTATCTGCTTTCATAGATATATGTCAATTTTGTACTCTACCAAAAGGAAATATATCTTTTCTCTAAGTACTCATAAAAACACTTACAAAAATTGATTGTATATTAGTCCACAAAGGAAATCTCAGTAAGTTCCAAAAAGCAGAACTTGTACAGGCTCTGCTCTCTGACCACAGTACAATACAATAGAAAATTAGTGGCAAAAGTTCAAATGAACAAACCCAAACACTTTGAATTTTCACGCTGCTAAATAACTCTTGGGTCAAAGAGAAAACCAAGGCTGCAATTACAGATCATTTAGGATATAACAACAATAAGAACGCTGTGTATTGTTGCTCATGGAATAGTGCCAGAGAGAAATTCATAAAGACCTTACATTGTTAACAGAAAAAAGTGAAAATAAATGGATCAAAGATTCAAGCCAGGAAATTAGAAAACAATACCAAACCTAAACAAAGAAAATTAGGAGGCAGGAATTACCAAATTCAAAAGTGTAAAATAATGATTGGAAGACTTAAAAAATTATAGAACTGATATGTATAAGAGGTAATTCTGTGAAAGAGAATAATAATATGAATAAATGGCTAATCCAGAAAACACTAACACAGAAGTTTAAGAAGAAAGGGGATCTAACTTCATATATGGAGATTTTTGTGAGTGACATTATAGTTTTAAGCTGATGAAGTGTAAAATGTCCAATGGATTTTTTTATCTTTATTTATTTATTTTTATTTTTATTTTTTTTTTTTTGAGGCAGAGTCTTGCTCTGTTGCCAGGCACCAGGCTGGAGTGCAGTGGCACAATCTCGGCTCACTGCAACCTCCACCTCCCAGTTTCAAGCAATTCTCCTGCCTCAGCCTCCCGAGTAGCTGGGAGCACAGGCGCGCATCACTACGCCCAGCTAATTTTTGTATTTTTTAGTAGAAATGGGGTTTACCATGGTCTCGATCTTCTGACCTTGTAATCCACCCACCTCGGCCTCCCAAAGTGCTGGGATTACAGGCATGAGCCACCATGCCTGGCCGGATTTTTTTAAAGAAAAATTGAAATTGCAAATTGAATTTAAAAGTTGGAAAGCTTGAATGAATCACTATGCAAGGATCATGTTGCCAAGTATGGGAAGGTAATATACATAACATCACATAGTTTAGGATGTGAGCCTACCACCAGCCTGCCTGGGTTCACATCCCAGCTGCACCTGTTAGCTATGCAACATTGGGCAAAATATTCATACTCCCCAAACTTCAGTTTCCTTATCTCTAAACTGGCAATGACAACACTATATGCCCCCCAAAATTGCTGCTGTACAATTGATGAAGTAACACAAGCCAAGTCTTTAGCTCTGTGCCAACAGACGGACCCACCCCCTGAAAAGACACTACACATTTTTATTGTTGCATTCCTCCAAACATCCAAAAAACAGATGCTTCATGCTATACTGTTTCAAAGCATGCAAAAAGATGGAAGGTTATTCACCTGGCTTTACAAAAACTTGGCAGGGTCAGCACAAAAACTTGACAGGGTGAGCACAAAACATACAAATTTTATTTATGAATACATATTTCATATATATGTGTATATATATCACACATATATATATATCACATATATATACACATATATATCACAAGAAAATAGAATCCAGTGTTGTAATGAAGTAATAAGACATCAGAATCAAATAAGGTATTTCTCAGGAATAGACAGATGAATGGCTCAGAATGAGGAAATCTATCCATCGACCCTGTTACATCGCTAGACAATTGACAGTGTGTTGACTAAGAAACGCTGCTTTTGGTTATTGGGCTAAGGGAATGAGACATGGCCAGACATGTATGCTCAGGTTGTTGGATGTAACATTATTAAACTTTTAAACATTTAAATACCAAAAACAGAGAACCTGCTTAAATATATTCTGCTTAAATAAATATATTATGCTTAAATGATATACAGACATAGAGAATATTCTATAGAAAGAATATTGTGAAACCATATAAGATGTTTCAAATAATATTTCAAAACATGAAAATATATTCAAGATACATTCATTTCTTCATTAGGTATCAAGAAGATTAAAGTAGTATATGCAGCATGCCTACATAAGCAAAAACTAGATATTTTTATCTGAGTGCATATGTACATCTATGTATAAGCATTTAGGTGGTTTCATCACTTTTACTACTATAAAAATTCCACAGCCAATTGTCTCATACCGTTGTCATTTTGCATACACATGAAGATTAAATCACGATATTTTAATTTATTTTGAGAACTACAGTCTGTGTACAAAATGACACATCTACAAGATTATTCACTGCAATATTATTTAGATGGTGGTGTTGGGCATGAGGGTGTATGTAAGTGCTCATATAATCATCTATACAGGGAAGGAAATAAACGAAAATACAACAAAATATCACAGCGGTTATTTTAGGGTTATTCTCATCCTTATACTTAACTTAAAAATCTTCTCCTTAATGCCAAGGTAGAAAAAAATCAAATGCTAATGAAACATTTTAAGTGAGATTCAAACTAAAGGAAAAGGACTGTGCTTGTAAATCAAGGCACATATTGTTGATAACTTCATCTGTTAAAAATATTACAAAAAAGACTTCAATTAAGATATTTAAAGAGTTTTACATAGTGTCTGGCAAAGGGTAGGTCAATAATATATACATTCATTCTACTTCAGTCCCCATTTAAATGAAGATCATTGTGAAGATGAGTTTTTAAAAATACCTGTGAAAGTGTTTAGCACAGGACAAGAAGCATAATTGGTTCTCAGCAATTATTAAGTGAATCTGAATTATAAATAACCCTTTCCTAGTGAAACCTAAACCCTCAGATGGAAGTCCAGAAGTGTTTCTTACTAATTGCCACTCTCCAGAAACTCCAGATTCAATGACTTGGGTTTTTCCTACTTCTCTGTGATCCTACCATATTGCTTAAAACTGAGCAAATAAACCAAACAACAACAACAAAAGCCTCAATGTCCTCTTCTCGCTTCTGGAGGACAAGCAAGAAAATACATTTTTTTTAATCCCTCTAGATTCTCTCTTCTTGCTTAAATTCAGGTCCAGTGTAGAACTGTTTCAACCTTTGGCAAAGTTTCTTTCCTGGTTTTAACCTAATCTGTCTTGGGGAGGGACAGTACCTTTATGGGAGAAATTCCGGCCTATTTCCCAAACCCACCCCCAATGGAGAGTGTGCTTGACTGTTTAGAGTCCAACCTTCACCGAGGGAATACTGTGATGATTCCACTGTTGGGAAATTTTCTCTGGTAGGAATTTACAGGATTTGTATGGAAATTGAGAGTAGAGCTAAAAGAGATCTTGACAAAAAGATCTATTGTGGGCCTGGATTTAGGAGATGACTACAGGGAAGAGGACTTTGGGATACACTGGATATGGAAGATGAAAAGAGGAAAATGGTGACAAGTTTCACATTACGGGCCCACAGAACATCAGTACCACGGACAGAGGCCTGGACACCAGAAAAAAAAAATGAAGAATTCACTTTGAGGCTTAATCATTTGGGGTGAGGGTAGGAATTTCAAGCGGGTGTCCATAAGCATAAAATCTAACCCTAAAGATCAGGATGGACCTCTGGCTAGAGTTGTAGATTTGAGAATTATTAATTTGAGCAAGCGGGTGGAAACCTTGGTGTACAACTGAGGTCTTCACAAAGATGCCTGAGCGTTATGAAGCCCTGGTATTTACAGAATAGAAAGGGAAATGGGATATAGTGAAGAAGCTATGGACTGAGTAGTCAGAGTAGAAGGCAAAAGGTAGGGAAGAAGGCTTCAGTAACAAGATGCAAGGAAACGAAAGCAGATATTCTAGACTGCAAGGAAGACAAGGCTGTCATCCGAAGCAAAGGCCACATGCCCCCTCTTCCCTTTGCTTTAGTTGAAATCAGATACACGCAACAATGACAATCAAGAACATAATGTTCAGTTGAAACAATAATAGAATGCTGGAGTGCACTGTAGTGGTCAGCCACATTTTCATTCAAACAATTTTAAAAGCTTTTTGAATGCCTTGAACTTCATGCTTTGGCAACTGTAACTGTGTTAATTGTGTGGATTGTTCCATCTAAGTGGGCTTTTGCATTACTAATAAAGGAAATGCTTTTGAACTACTGGGCTGTGCCATTTAAAGGCAGGACAGAGCCTAAAGTCCAGGACTCCTGATCTCGAGCAGTGGACAGCTCATGTCAGCTTGCTGAATCTCAGGGTGCATCCAGGCCCTCCTGTATAAAGACCTAGAGACAAATCAAAGCCCCTATAAAGTGGAGGCACCTTAAGTCAGGGCACCCTCTTTTTGGTTTACCATATCCTAATACTTACCACTCAAATCTGCTTCCCCTGTTTAGTTCCCCTACCCTATACATGCATGCATACCTGCCAAACACTCCCTACTCTCCATTCTTCTTCTCTTCAACCCACCCCTATGAAGCCTCTACAGCTGGTTAGCCTCATCCAGAGATGTGGGTGGGTCACCATGGTGACAGAGGAAGCCCTGCTGCAGAAGGAGAGAGACAGAAACAGCAGGGGACGTTTCTTGGAGCCTAATACAATGACCTCTGCCTTTCTTAGAAGTGCTTCCTTTAAGTCAGAGAAGCACATTAGAGGTAAAGAGAGAGGCTGCTATGTTGGAGAGATGGTGGAATGCCTGAACTCTTCTTTAAAAATTTCTTTTCTATGATTTTCAGGTGATCATCAATATAACCATCCGATTTTGAGCAGTGCTACCCAGATCCCGCCACATGGTGAGAGATGATGATTGAGAGCACTCTGCATTTCCTCCTCCTTTCAAGTGGCACCATTCTAAGGACGGATGCCTATCAGGGCATCAAACACATGGTCTTTAACTCACTGAAGCTAAGGAGGTGCAAGGAGCCTTGGGCCCACCCTCCTCCAGGGCCACAGTGCTCTTATCTCAAGTCTGTAGGCTATTTTCCCCTTGGTGTTTCTGTCTCTGATATCAGAATGATCTCCTGACGTGAAGGAAGGGGTCTAGACCCATTTCTACTTGCCACCTGTATCATTTCTTACAGTCATAAATTCTGGATGTACACAGCAAGGAGTGAAACGCCCTCCTTTGCCCAAAGCTATCTGTGATATCATTTACGAAGGACATGAGACTTGGTTAAACGACATTGATATCCTCTCCAAACTAATTAAGATTTGATAAGACTCAGAACTTATTTGGGCTTTAGCCTCTTGGCAGAAAAAGAGGCTGAAAATTGTTGAGCAGAGGAGTGTTAGCATAGCACCCATGGGTTATAAAACCCTGTTTCACTCTTAGATTATAATATCCTCCCACAAAATCACAGCTGAACAGAGAAAAACTATTTTTGGCACCTGCTCAAGACTTGATAGAACATATGACAGCCATGTAAATTGTGAACTATCAGTCATTTTTGTCTCTTTGCTGTGAAAGAGTGAAAACATTATTAAAATTTTAGTCAGAAAAACTCAAAACAATGATAAATCCTACAGGCCACCTGGTAGAGAGACCCACCATGGTCATGTCAGATTTGCTGTGCCTCAGCATTGAAGTTGAGGGATATTACAATCAGGAGGAGGAGAGGGGAATATTTTCTGTTTTTGTTATTGCTGTTTTGAGACTGAGTCTCACTCTGTCACCCAGGCTGGAGTGTAACGGCACAATCTCAGCTCACTGCAACCTCCACCTCCTGGGTTCGAGCTATTCTCCTGCCTCAGCCTTCCGAGTAGCTGGGTCTACACGTTTGCACCACCACGCCCAGCTACTTTTTGAATTTTTTAGTAAAAACAGGGTTTCACCATATTGGACAGGCTGGTCTTGAACTCCTGACCTTATGATCCGCCTGCCTCAGCCTCCCAAGTGTAATGCTGGGATTACAAGCATGAGCCACTGCGCCGGCTGGAGAGGGAAATATTTTCATGTGCTATGCTCCAGGTAGAAATAAATGATGAACCCAGTAGTATCATCAGATTTGTCAGTTTGTGGGATCTAAAAAATTAGAACTGGGAGAAACTGGGGAGATCAGTGAAAAGAGGTGGAGACCAGTGGTGATGATGTCAGTGGGAAAAGAAAGGACGGTTGAGATATGAAAGCTTTTGAAGAAAGAATAGGAAAAACTTCCTTACTAACTGAATATGGCTGATGAGAGCCAATGATGACATTGGTTAGAATAATGAAGTGTATTATTAACACAATCCAAGGAATCGGAGAAAACAGCCAGTACGTATAGGGGATGAAGTTGTCAGTGAGTTCGGATCTGGACACCTGGGGTTAGCAAGAAAAAATAGTAAACAGGCAGTTAGGAATGCAGACATGAAGTCTAGAGGGAGGTTAGAGCTGAAGATGTGAGTGAAGCTTTGGAGGCAGTAACAGAAGCCTTGGGAGTGGGGGCAATGTGTGCTCAAAGAGAAGTGCAGAAGGCAGAGGCAGGGAGCCTGAGGGATGCCCACAGTCATGGAAGCAGCTGCAGGAAGAGCCAGAAAAGGCATGCAAGGAGAGCTCCCACTTGCTCAGTCATATTCTGAAAGTACCCCAGAGATGATTTTCCCCAGAGCCAACACAAGCAGGCTCCTGAATGCAACAGGAGGAATCATTCTTCCCTTTTTCTCTTCCTGTCTTCTCTTTTCCAACTGGTGCAAGGAGAGGGGAGTTAATGAGACCCGGTCCCTGCCCTTGAACAGCTCACAATGTAGTGGGAGTGGAGTTTTCCGTGCTTTCTTGGATGTTTCCTTCTTTCCCAGGAGCTGGCAAAGTGACTGTCAAGAGAGGAGGGGGCCTGAGTCTACTTAATTAGTGTTCTACAAAGAGCATTAATTGGATCTTTATTCTGGGCCAAGCACTGTGAAGGAATAAAAAAAAAAAAAAAGAAATTGGAAAGCAAGACCCTGATGTCAAGGAGACTGCAATATTTGGAGATCCACGATCCCAACTCAAGTCAAATTATTAGAGATCAGTTAGACACTAAACTGGGTGGAACTGACTAAATGAGCATTATAGGCTTGAATAACAGATATTATTGTGGGCTAAAAAAGATGTGACATTGGCATAGCAAAAAGTCTTGAGTGAGGGGAGAATTTTATAGAGAAGAGTAAAGGAGGCATTTCCATAGGAGGTAGAGTGTGCAACGGTGATCCCATGAAGGCAGAAGGCAAGGGAGAGGGTTGGCCTTGGCTCAGGGGTATGTGCTGGAACACAGTGGTAGCACAAGAACATCCAGAGAGATTGCATTTGCAAGTGAGTGAGCTGAGTGATGCCTTATTGAGCGAATAACGCCCACAGGGTAAGGAGGTTTCTTTCTCTCCAGCATGGCCAAAGTGAAGAGATGAGTGCTGAGAGATGAGTGGCTATTACCCCCTCCAAGGAGCAGCCTCCCCAAGTTCCTGCTCACTCCATTTCCTGGCACCTGTCCTGATGCATGGCAGGGAGGCTCATTCTGTACAGCATGTTCTGATGGGGACGTAGAGCACTCCCCACCCCCTCACATATGTACGGAACTGGCATGAAAGCCAGCTCACTGGCTGAGCTTCCCTGGCTCAGTCCCCAGTGTTGGGGTGACAATGCAGGCAGGAAGGGCTAGAGAAGCCAGGAGTCCCCTGTGCTTGGGGTTGCCCTTGGACAATGCCTAGGAGAGCTTCTCTCTCTCCCACCTCTCCCACCATCCACAGAATTCCTGCTTTCCATGGTGCAGCACTCTCTTTGCCAAGAGGTATGGCAGTCCTCCTGCACATCTGTCCAAAGTTAGAGCCTGCCCCCTCTCGGAACTTCTTTGGCCTTGAGGTGTCCCAAACCAAAGAGGATGCAGGAATGATGCAGCCTCACTATAGCCTCCCAACTGCCTCACTTCCAGGAATGGTACCACCATTTCCCACGGCAACCACTCACTGACTGCTTGTTGTGGCTTCTCCTCCTCAAGTGCGTGAAGCACTGAGGCATGCTCGTCTTCTTCCCCAGGATCTCCAGCTCTTTCTGTCCCCTCATCCTCCCCGCCTCCCTCACCAGCCCTACATGCTCCCTCTCCTCTCCTGTGTCACTCCTCTGGCCCTGAACCCAGCGCACACTGCACTGTGCTCCCATCAGCCATCCTCTCATCTCCCTTTCACCTTTTCTTCCACTTTTCCTTCCATTCCTTTCCCCAGGTCTGGAATTGAACAACACTCCTTTCCATCTCTTCAGATTCTTGTATCTCAATGCTGTATCTCGGGTAAAGGAAGGAGAAAATGGGGATGAAGTGCTATGTATCTTTGTCTAGATTCTTTCCTCCAGCAGCTTAGAGATGGCTAAGGGGGCTTCAGAGAAAGGAATAAATAAGTAAGATAAAATAGATCTGTGGCTCACTGTGGCTTTTCAGGTGCAGACTTTGGCAAGGAAAAAGGAGCTACATGAGATGTGGAAGGATGCCATGGAGGGAGCATGGGATGGGTCTCAGTGGAGCTGGGTCCCATACCCAGTTCTTCTGTGGGTACTTAAATAGCATAAGTCACTCCATCTCCTTCAACTCAGATTTTTCTGAGCCTGAGAGGTAAGTTTGCCTAAAGCTATTAGGAAAAGGACAGCACTTTGACACAGAAGTAAAGGATTTTATGATGCCCCTCAGCTCCACCAGGCTTACAGTTTCAGCAGATAACCAGTTATGTACTGGGAGAGAGAATTTGCTCCTCAGACCCAAGAGTCGAGTCTCCCATTCACAGAATGGTAAACTGTCTTGGTGGCGGCTAAAACAGCATCTTCCCCTAGGCTTACTGACAACTGGAACTGAGTATGAGGGAAACTGAGCCAACAGTATCGCCTGTGTCCTAGCACAGAGGTCTAGGAAAGCAGGATGGGGACTCGAATCAGGGGTGAGGCAGAAAGCAGGGGAATAGAACCTGGACCTGTCCCCTTTGCCTGCCACAGACGTGGTCTTTATTAACACACAACATCCCTCCCTTTTCTTGCAGAGAAGCCACGGATGAACAACATCCTGACATCAGCCACCGAGCCCTATGACCTCTCCTTCTCCCGCTCTTTCCAGAACTTGGCCCACCTGCCCCCATCCTACGAGTCTGCAGTAAAGACCAACCCCAGCAAGTACTCATCTCTGAAGAGGCTAAGTAAGTTGAATTTCCCCCAAGTTGGGGTCTGTCTCTGGGGCTCCAAGATATCTTCCTATGTCACACTCTCTTGCTCCATACCCCACAGGAAAGCTGTCGAATACCAAGAATAAAGGAGTTGCAGGATGAAAGAAGAGAGTAGACAAGCCCTTTGCTTTTGTTCTTTATGGACTGAGTCCATTCTTCCCGTACATAGAAAGAAGGCCATGGAATCCTTAGATTCACCTCCCCATATGAAACAGCCCTCCAACTCATGCACCAGTTTAACTGCAAGAGAAAGCCTTCCCCCAGTCCTGCACCCACTTGCCTTCTTAAAACCATGGGCCTGCTTTGCTGTATGCCCTATATTGGATAGAGGCTAGCAATGGCCACAGCTTTCTCTGAGATCCCTCCCAGAGACCCACAAACTAGCTGTCTCTCCAACCCAGCCAACACTACCTTGAGGACTGAGATCCTTCACCTCCCACGCATAAACCCCATTTCTCCAGTCCAGTTGTTTGTCCAGTGATGCCAGCTCTGCATCTTGAGTCTGGAGAGACTCTGGGCATTGATGGGTTGAAGATACAAAAATGTCAAGAAAGTTCACTAAGGGAAAGCTCTTCCTCCCTGGCTTTCTCACCTTGGACCTTCTCCTTCCACTTTCCCATGAGTCTCTTTTGATGACCACCCAACTGCAGTTGGAGCCTCAAAGGTTGAGCATTTGCCTGAAAGCTTCAGGATAACCTACCCCAATGGAAGTACAGCCCAGGTCCACATCGGCCATATCCATGGTGAAACATTGAGTCTCTGTAGCTAGAGACGGGACTGTATGATAACCTGAGGAACCTGGTGGATGTCTTGAGGTGATGAAATTTGGCTCAGGAGGAAGGATACCCATCAGCGATCCCTCTGCACCAACTGAGGAGCAGGCAGAATTCCCACACTTTTGCAGAGATCTAGAAGGCCATGTGAGATCTAGAAGGCCTCATTTCTGAAATTTGGGGCAAGGCAGATTTGTGTGTGGCCTGTAAGTTCAAGTAGGTTTGTGTGTAGCATGCAAGTTCTGGGCAAATTCAAGGGTGTGGAGAGCACTGTGAGCTTAGAAGGGCCTGCTGGATAGAGAGAAAGGTGAAGCATCTAAATGAGGCACACTTATAGGATTACTCCAGCCAGTTTGCGTTATGGGCACAGGTGGAGTGTGTGTAGGCTGATTATGTGGCTGCGTAGAGACTGCAGGCCAATGTATTGGTTTTCTATGCCTTGACTGTTACTACAGGGAAGGTGTTACTCTGCTCCTAAGTTACCAGTTGAGACGCTGATTACTACTTATGGAGGTCTCTCTTGCAGACTCTGACTTAACGACCAATGAATAAAATGCACTCGCACACACTAGAATACAGTGAATCTGAGTAAGCTAAAGATGGTCATCAGCTGCTTTCAGAAGGCGACAGCAGCTAATCGATAATGACTCCTTGTCTTCCTCATGTTTATTTAGTATAGATTTAATAACAGAGGTTCTAAGTCAACACACTTGTGGCTTGTGGATAATTAACATAGTTACAAGAGTAGTTTTACAAATGACAAAAAGTCTTGGTTCTGAGGCCTAGAGTAGACACGGTTAAGAAGTAATTCTTCTTCAACCTCCTCCTGAGAAGGTCATCCAGCACAAAGTTTACATGAGTAAACAGAGACAAAAGAATGTGAAGTAAACAGACTTAACTGAAGAAGCTTTTCTTGTCTCTAAATCTTCACCCTATGACTTAATACACTAAGGTAAGAACTGGCTGCCTCCAGCCCATTCCATTAAAACCTTTTGGCCTTTATCATCTTATAACTTTCCCTAATATTTCCCTACTATTTTGCCAGCCACGCTGAGTGAATTCCAACAACCAGTTAAACATTTTCATAAGTGTTTCCTAGTCTGAGCATCTTTATTCTAGCAGGCCGCTGGCTCTGGACCTCATCAGGAAGCTGCAGGAGCTGCTATTTGAATGTTTTAGTAAGACAAATAGCCATTCTGTTTCAGGACCACGGTGTGTAGATACAGCCCAGGACCAGAGGGAGTTTAAGGAGTTGGGCTTGCCATCAACTCCTTAAACTCCTGGGGATTCTGAGGAAGTCCCTTAATAGATCCCTACTCAAGATGGTCCATGCACCACAGGCTTTTAGCATTGCCTAGGAGCTGGTTAGAGACGCAAGCTCTTGGGCCCACACCAGACCCACTGAATTAAAATCTGCATTTAACAAGCCCTCAGGGAACGGTTTGCACATTCAGTGGGAAAATACACCCTTCACCTGTCTAGGCCTCCAGGTCCTAATCCACAGCTAACGGAGTTTGACTATATTATCCCTGAAGATGGACAGGTCTGTGATAGAGCAGGAGGGGTGCAGGGTTCTATCTGAGTCCTGGCTGCAGGGTCACCCCACTTGCCTTCTCTCACTCTGTCTCTCTCCTGCAGCCGACAAGGAGGCTGATGAGTATTACATGAGGCGGCGGCACCTGCCTGACCTGGCTGCCCGCGGCACCCTCCCACTCAATGTCATCCAGATGTCCCAGCAGAAGCCGTTGCCACGGGAACGACCCCGCAGGCCGATCCGAGCCATGTCCCAGGACAGGGTCCTGTCCCCTGATCGGGGCCTGCCAGATGAGTTCAGCATGCCCTACGACCGCATCCTGTCCGACGAGCAGCTGCTCTCCACAGAGCGCCTGCACTCCCAGGACCCGCTGCTGTCCCCGGAGCGGACAGCCTTTCCTGAGCAGTCGCTGTCCAGGGCCATCTCGCATACGGACGTCTTTGTGTCCACACCCGTGCTGGACCGCTACCGCATGAGCAAGATGCACTCCCATCCCAGTGCCTCCAATAACTCGTACGCCACCCTGGGCCAGAGCCAGACGGCAGCCAAGCGCCACGCCTTTGCCTCGCGCAGACACAACACGGTGGAGCAGCTGCACTACATCCCGGGCCACCACACCTGCTACACAGCCAGCAAGACCGAAGTGACCGTGTGACTGGCGGGGCAGGGCCGGGGCTGCTGGGCACGGTAGAGCAGAGCAGGGGCCAGGAGGGGCTGGGAGCAGAGCTTCTAGCCTTGTCACTCTCCCCTCCCTCGTCCCTTCTGTAGGAAGTGGGGGTGGGCCACCTGTGCCCAGAAAGCCATCCCCCGGGGACACAGCCCCGATGGCCTGGTTCAATACGCTTAGACCCAGGACCAAGAGCAATCACTCTTGCTCCTCCAGAAGAATCAACGGGGAGTGAGGAGGCGGCCGGGCCCCATTCTCACCCTCTACCACCTTCACAAACTCCCTTTCCGTCTTGCACCTCCTTTTCCCCCTCCTGGGGACTCAGCTACAGGCTCTGTCGGCAGAGACCCTTGCCTGACCCTGGTCTGAAGCTGCCTGGGTTTGGAGGGGCCAGCGGGTGCAATCAGTGGGCTGACCGAATAGGCTAGTCGGTCTCATTCATTTTACCTAGAACCGCATCACAGAAATCTTCTAGTGCCTAAAAACTGCCTGCTCGCTCTCAGAGCCAGGGAGCTGCTGTGTCCATAAGCACAATATTGATTCTTTTCTTGCCTGCTGGAACTCTCTGGTCCCCATTGAGTGGCCCTTCCTTTGCTGTCCCCAGAGGGTCTCACCCTGGCCCTGCACCCCTCCCCTCAACACCAGGACCTCGAGGGGTTCCCTTCCTTCAGCTGCCTCCATTTTGGTGGGAACCCTGCCCCCTTCCAGCTGACTGCCCACCCATATGGACCCTGGGCCTGTCCTTTTAGGGGGCTGTGCTCTTTCCTGGCCCTGAGGATTTTCACCCTTGAGTTCTCTGGGGTTTTGGCTGTAGCCTTCCCAGAGGGGAGTAGCGGTGGGGTGCTGGCCCTCCCAGACACCCGATCATCTCCACACTCCCTCCTGACCACACTCTAGACCTGACCATGACTGCCACTCAGGCCAACTTCTCCACCCCTGCTCTGCTCCCAGGAGGCACCTGTGGTGGCCAGAAAGCTGGGGTGGGGAGGGCCACTGTGATGTGCAGGGTCTCAGGGGCTCGACATTCGCATCCTGCAGGGCTCCACTTGTCTCCCCCATGCCCCTTCAGCAGGACCCAGGCAGAGGCTTCTAGAGAGCGGCTGTTCGGCCCCCAGACAAGAAGGACAGGAGGTGGTAGTCCTGCACCCTGCCCACCCCTCCTTCCTTCCCCAGCTCTGCCTACCAACTCAGTTCAGAGCTCACTCCTACTTCCTGTCTCCCCTTCCCCCACTGCACTTCCCCCCTGCAACCTCATTCCTCCTGGCTGTTCCTTCTTCAGACCCGTGCCTCCTCTGGATCAAAGGGACAAAGACCTACTAGCAAAAGCAAACAATGGTCCCCCAGGCGACTGGCCTAGGGGCTACCTGGGCAGGTCCCCACTGTATCGTCCCTTTCTGCTGGCACTGAGGCACCTGGTAAGACCAGGGTCCTCCGTTCTGTTAGGGGGCTGCCACTGTCCTCCCACCTCAGCCTCCTCCGCTTCCAGCCTGGGGATGGGCTTGGTGTGACGGCCTCCTGGGGAGCTGACTGTGAATCAAGCAGCGTCCCCTCCCCCAAGACCAGAGAGCCTGGTGAGGGGAAGGAGTTCCCTCATTCTCAGGGCCAGGACACCCCCTGGGTTGGGGCTGGGGGAATCAGCTCCAGACTACTGGGTGAAGGTATGATAACTACGAACAGTCAGATCCAACAGCAGTGCCCTTATAAATGGGGTTTTACTTGCCCTCAGTTCTGTACTTGTGGCCCTTTAAAAAGGCAAGTGTAGAAGGAGAATTGCTCAGTGTCAGCCCTGGGGATTTTTAACCAAACCAAGTCCACAAACCACAGAGAACACAATGAACTGTGTCCTTTCATCGATTTCAAGAGTTCCAAAGCTCTCGTCTCCTTCTCCCCTCCCCAGGGTGTGCCTTCCAACACGAAAGGGAAGCCATCGCATGAACCTTAGGGGGACAGAGGCTGGGGGTTGTGAAAGCCACCCTCAGCCCCCACACTAGGGAGGCAATCCGGGAGCTGCTCTCTCTCTGCCTTCCTGTCCACAGACACATAAACCTTCTTAAGGGCTGGTCCCTGCGGGTTTATAAGAGTTTGTTCCGGAAGGTGAGGCTAAGAGGGTTGGAAAGGAAGACATGAGTCTGAATAGAGCAGGTGTCTTCCCAGCTGGGCCCCTGAGCCCAGCACCTTTGAATCCTCTAATCTCTGGCCATCCCTTTAAGGCAGGATGCTGGTGGTGAGGGGAAAAGGACCTGAGGGGCTGAGAATGCCCTTACCAGGTGTCTACACACAGGTACACACCAAACGAGAAAGCTGATGCCATCTCCCATGTCAAAGCTTCTCAGCACCAAGTTCTCCAGCCCCCAGGGGACACTTTCCCCAGGGGTCCTCCCCAAGCCCTGTCTCTGACAGGGTGTCTGTCTGTCTCAGGGGTTGCTTGATGGGTTGATTCTAAGACATTTCTCATCCCAGCCTTACCATGTCTCATCCCAGCCTCTGATGTCAGTTGGATTGGAAAATTCTATTGCAATGCTTACTTCTTTTCAAGGATTTCTTCTGCTTCACCTTTGGGTATAGAAGCAAGGAATGGAGGGAGGGAGAGAAGGAGGAGGAGGAAGAGGAATAGGAGGAGGAGGAGGAGGAGGAAGAGAAGGAGGAGGAGGAAGGGAGGGAAGGAGGGAAGCAAAAAGAAATAGAGATAGGTTTACAAACTTCTCTAATTCAGTCCCACATTTCGAAATCCAGAAAACTATGTCATAGCTGGGACACAGAGGTATCCCATTTATTCAGTTGTCCCATCCATCTTCATGGAACAGGCAAAGCCACATCACTAGGCAAGTTCAAGTGGCAGATGAAAGGCTTCTGGGGCTGGAACCTAGATGCCATGATTTCCAGCCCCACCAGGCTGGTGGCCTCTACCATACACAGAAGTACAATCTGCCCCTATAGTAAAAGCATCCCTCCCTCTCACAAAGGAAGCCTAAAGCCCAAGATTTCCCTTTCCTTATTTTATTCATTCTTACACATCTCAATTGCCCTAACAGGAATGGACTAGAATCTGCACAGGTTCTCTCCTGCCCTGAAAATTCTGTCTGGTCTCCTTGGCTGTTGATGGCATCGAAGCTCTCACAATCCCTCTTGCACCTGCCCCTTTCCTGTCTTTCTCCAGACTCCTGGCTCCATGCCTTCCTGAGTCAAAAAGGCTTTGCCAAGAATTCCTTAACCTCCTAACTGGGCTTTTGCCCTCAGAGGTCCCCAGTGTCTTGGGAGTGTCTAGGGCCATGGTTCTGCCTATTAGAAAGTTCCAACCTTGCCCCCATTTCAAATTTCTCCTCCCCTCTTTTGACTCTCACTCCCAGAAACTCCTGTCTTAACTTCAGACTCCCATGCCAGGTCACTCTTTCCTTCCTCTCATCTCCCTCTTCTTCCGTCTGCCTTCCTCCATTCCTGATTTCTTTTCCCTCAACTTGCTATCATCACCAGCTCTGAAAATCAGAGCTCTCAATGAAACCAATGGAAGAATAAGACATTCTTCGGGTCTTCTGTTTGCCTCGCTGGTGTATCCTTCACCTCCTGCCCCTGTAACATGATACACCAGTGCATGGAGCCAAGGGCTTTCCACCTCTGAGCTCTGGGAGGGAAGGGAATGGAGCTCTGGGTTCAAGAGGTCATGGCCTGTGATGGTCAGTTTGGTTCCTGCCACAGGCAAGTCCCCTGAAGCTCCCAACCCAGCCTGATGTTAGCCCAGAAGCTCCTGATCTGGCCAAAGACTCATATCCTTGAGGGCTCTCAGCCTCTTTTCCAACACACTTGCTTGTGTATGTCACCTATCCTCTTTTGTCCACAAAGACTTGAGGGCCTCCTGAGTCTCCAAGCATGGAGAAACATCCATGCCAACATCCCTGCCATCAAACTCAATCCATTTTCTTCAGAGATACCTTGTCTGTCACCAGCCTCCACCCTCATACTCCTCACACAGGCCACTGTGCCCTTGACCCAAGGCAAAATGAAAGGGCTGCCAATCACTCAGACCCCAAAAGGCGCCTGCCCTGAGAAGAGCTGGCATGTTACCTCCCATATACATTCCTGTCATCCTCTCTGAATCTGGGAAATTTCACTCTGGAGTATTTTCAAGAAAGCGCATTGTGTTTTAATGAAGTGTTTTTTAGGGTTCAAATGTTATTTTTTATAAATGCAGCATTTTAATGGCAGATTCAATATGAAAGACCTGTCTTCCTGGGCCGTATATTTGCTTTTGGAAGGCAGCATACTCTAGGAGAAAAAAGGCACGGGGCTGAGGCTCTGGAGACACAGCTTCCAGCCCTGGCTTTGTCTCCAAGGGGGAGTCATGTTCCCTGCTCAGTGCCTCAGTTTCCCCATCTGCAAAATGAGGGGCTTTGACTAGATGAGCTGTGAAGTTTCATTCAGCTCTTACATTGTAGGGTTTTCATTCCCTGCCAGCACCTGCTCTCCCTGTTCCTCCCCATCTCCACTGAGCTGCAAACATCCCACAATGCCTGCCCCACAGTGATGTCCTAGATAGCCACCACACTCCTCACTAGAGCCTGGGGTGGGCCTAATGGGCTCGGACACCCAAGGATGCCCTCGTACCTGAAGTTTAAGGGCCTACGCATTCAGTAGCTCACTAACTGTGTGCCATAGAAGCCCTCCTGTAGAGAGACACCTAAACCATCCTAAGTGGCTATGGAATTCTGGGGAATTCTGAGTTTGGAGCTTCTATTTTGAATATGGTCCTTATAGCTGGAGGGAGGCGGTTCCAATTTCAAAGAGGGAGCTGGCCGGAGAGAAAGGTCTGGAGGTTTGCACACAAGGGCGTGAAGTTTGTACTTGGGGGCAGCTGGGAAATTCAAGCTGCAGGGGAACATGTGCACAGCCTCTGTGTGGCAATGAATGTCACAATCTCCCACTCTGGAACGTGCGTCCTGAAGACCAAGTCTAGATACTGAGGCTCCATCCCAACTGGAGGAGGAGGCATCACCACCTGGGCTGCTAGGAAGGGGCACTCACCCCACCCTGGTACCTTTCTAGCCCTTCCTCATGACACTACCGTCCTCCCGGTGAAGGCTTGTGAAGCAAGAATGAAGAGTCCACGTTGTTATCATCAAGCCATCTTGTAAATCAGCAAACACATTAACCTTCCATCAGTCAGAGAAATAATGCTGTGGCTGTGTGTTTCCTTACTGCCCTCCCTCCTGAGGGAGGAGAAGACCCTGCTCAACTTTGCTGCCCACCCTGCAGTGACCTCTGAATGCCACGCCATGGGAGGACTTATTCATTGGCTTCGTAGTGGCAAATATTCCTCTAGTTCTATAACTCAACTAGACATTTTGTAGTAAAGAATTCTTGAAATTCTCTAATAAAAAGCAATTCTTACTGTAATATTTTTAGTTTGGGGACACAATTTCCTAAGGGGGGGATTAATGAACATTTTTATGCATTAGCCCAATTTATGAATTCCATGTTTATTATATGGTAGTACTGATGAAAAGTACCTTTCTATCTGTATCTTTGCAGTTTCTTCATTACTCATACGTAAGTTTCATGGTGAGCAGTGCTCTAGTAACTGCATCTCTGTACAAA